AGAGGACGGCGCTCCCCCAGGGCCTCACTAGATTACGCCAGAGTCTCTGTCACCTCTCACCATCCTGTGCACTGAATGACAAGTCCTCTCTAGTCCTGAAATGGCTTGAGGGCAAGAGACTTCCTGATGCCCCAGAGAGGAGGAATTAAGTCACTCAGGTGGGCTGAGGGGTCTGGCCCTCATCAAATCCTGGGTTTCTGGCACCAGTTTCTGCACCCTGGATGGAGTCCCCAACAGTGTAGTGAACCCAGGTCTTAGGTGAGTTTGTGGCTGAATGAGGAGACGAGGCACTTTCCCTTGAAGGACTGCAAAGCATACTGTCCACACACTCATCTCTATAGGCAAGTGAAGGAGCAGATAATCCCAAACACAGGGTAACCCAGAGGCTTCTGAATGGCTTTCATTCCCGCTAAAGAGCTGTATTCTGTGCCCCAGAGCCTTGGCACATGCAATTCCCGCCCCTTGGAATCATGTCTGTTACATCTTTATGCTGGTTCTCTGGGACTCAACCTTTAGATCTCAGCTCAGACCCCACACCTTCTGAAAGCCTGAGCTTGAGCTAGGTACCCCTCCTGCACTCCCCCCGTCACAGCCCCTGACACATTATAATCCCGAGTCTCTAGTTTGCGCTTTATCCCCCTGCTCCACCTCAGCCCCAGAGCAGTGCCTACCAAGAGTTGCATGAATGACTGAACGAGTGAATGGCTTCTGATTGGGGTGGGCCTAGACATGGCTGAGGATTTTAGCAGCATGTGATGACTTTAACTGCAAGATTATGTTTTGCTTAGTCCGGGATACCACCATGAGTGGTCCTTGTAAGATGACACCATAGGGAATGGCGGAGAGAAATAGCTGGAAATTTCATTTTTGCTCTGGACCCCCAAGCTCAGTCAGAGCCTCTCTTTGAATAAACAGGACTTTTTCTGGAGTGTTCCACACGCAGTTGTCTGTTTCAGAGCTAGATTGCTCCCTGGCACTCGAGCATTCGGTTAGGCTGTGGATCTTGTCAGGGTTCCCAGTCCCAGCACCTCTTGACTTGTCCTTCATCACCCTCTTAACCCTCCTCGCCCTCATCCTCCTCCCTGCTTCAGCCGCCTCGAGTGTCTGTTCCAGCCTCTGCCCTCGCTACACCAACTTGTCTGCAGGGTCTTGGTTTCGTCCTGTGCGGAAGTTTCTTCCTTCTCCCTGGGCCACCTTAACGCTGTGTCCCAACTTCCACCTCTGTTTCGTGAATGTCCTTCAGCCCCGTGGTTGTACCCTGAGGGTTAGTTCTGTCTACTGCGAAAGTGGAGGTGCAGTAAAGACAGCGGCATATAGTTGGGGTGGGAGGAGGAGGATGATTAATTATCACAAGGATGTTTGCTTGGAGTTTTAATCAGACTGCCTTGCTTTTGCTCCCCTCCCCTTTTTCCTTTTCTTTCCCCCAACTCAGAACATCCACTTAGAATGTATTTTAGAAACTTAGAATGTTAGGTTTGAGCATTCTGCCCCCAGCGCCTCAGTGTAATAAATAAATCAATAAGTTAATTGCCTCAAGAAGCTTGATGGCTGAGTGCATTGGGGTACCTTTTGTTCTCCAGTGAACAGTCATTTCAGACTAGGGAGCAAGAAATGAATGTGGGTGCAGGGCTTGTCCTGGCCTCTGATTCGTAACCCTGACCTGGAGAGTCATTATTCCAGCAATGTGTGTAACTTACAAGCCTCCTGCCAAATGCTCTGCGTCCTTGACGGTTTTCCCAAGTTAGGTGCGTCATAAATACATTTCTCGTTTGCCCGAGTACTCTTGGGTTTGTTTTGAATCTGACAGGTCCTCTGACATCAGATTCTTAAATCTCACTAAACATCATTTATAGCAAAAATGTTGCCTTGACAGGAAGAAAGATTGTGTGATTTTCAGTTTGGGTTGAAAAATCAGATCCAAGTTATGACAACACTGAGGCTTCCTAGACCCTACAGATTAATCATGATTATCTTACCGTGAAATACTTTTTGTAGTAGGAACCTGTCTCCATTTATTGTTTCTGTCAAAACCTCTGATTGGAAAACTTCTCACAGTGGGTATCTGTCATTTCTGAGGATGCACTGATTTATTTCCTGGTAGATTTCAACCAGAATATGGTTGCCCTTTGTTGTATGAAATAGGTATGCCCCTGAAGAGTTATTTATAAACCGAATTTTTACAGATAAACTCATACATAAAATACACACGAGGAGCTATTCTTTTACTTTATAGATTCTTTCATAATTAGAAAGACTACTCGCAGTTCATTTGAGAAATACAACGTTCATGTATTGGGTTTTGTTTAAATGAAGCCATCTTAGTAAGAATCAGACAAGATTACCAGTGGTCTGCTCTCAATAGTTCTGGCTTAGCTGTACCACGTTTCATTCCAATAGGAGACTGGGGAACTTGTAAAAGGAACTGAAGTGCCAGTTCAGAGCTGCCATGATTTGTGACATTCAGCTGGAATATTAGGTAAAGTGTTAAGTAATTTCTCGTGGGTTTCTCAGCTCAGCATTTCATGATTCTCTGTATTCTGTTATCTACTTCTGCTTAACCAAACACTCCTAAATGTAGTGGCTTGAGAAATGTGTTCTTTCTCATCATTTTGTGGATTGTTTGGCTCAGCTGGTTGGTTCTCCCCTGAACTTCCCACATGTGGTTGCAGGCCAGCGTGGGCTGGGGCTGCAGTCATCTGAAGGCTCAGCCGGGCTGAGTGACCAAGACGGCTTGCTTACACGACTGGCAGAGGCTGCCTGGCAGCTGAGAAGTCAGGTGGGCTGTCCCCCGGGGCACTTACATGCGACCTCTTGTGTGGTCTTTTCAGAACGTGGTGGCTGGGTTCCAAGAGGGAGCATCCTCAGAGTAAGTGCTCCAAGAGACCCAGACGGAAGCTGCCAGGCTTCTTAGGACCTTGTCTGGAAATTCAAGCCCGTCACTTCTGCCACATTCTATTGGTGAAGGCAAGGGGACCAAAGTAAGTTCAGATTCAAGGAAGGGGAATTCGGCTTTGCCTCTTGATGTAAGTTGCAGTGTATGGATAGGGTCCACTTTTTGACTGTGTACCATACTCCATGTCAGAAGAAGAGTGTCCTCCAGGAGAATCAGATCACATAAATATGAGAGGTGTGAGAGGCAGTGCAGTACAGTGTAGAGAGATTATAGGATGCTGGAACGAACTGGTGAGGACTCCATGCTCTGGAGCACACACTGAATGAGCCTGTCTCCATGGGAGCCAGGTGGTATCCCATAGAGAGAAACGTTCCCATCTCCTGGGCCCTGCCCGAAGTTAGCCTGCTTCTATTACAGATTTTGAAAAACATCTGGCAAGGGAATTTAACTAACATTTTTAAAGGCATATTTACCTAAAAGCTACCCCAAGCATGTTGCCTACTCATATTGAGTCAGTAAACCATCTTCATAAATTCGCACTGCACCTTATTTCACAAACACGTAGGGAACTGTGAAATAACGTGTCCAACACACTTGCTTTTCAGTTTATGTCATGGAGATGCTTAGAGAAGGCTGTACCGTGGAGCACCATATATATTTAGAGAGGACACTTTTTGGTGTTTGAGAAAAGGTCAAGTCCTGTCCAGGTGCTTAAAAGTCTAATTGCCTCCTTAGCCTGTGTTAGGAAAACAGCTGCCCTGTCAGTCACACGGCGTCACGGGTACCTGGGTCCTGGCTGTGGCGTGTGGCTGAGCTGGGTGCACAGGCTGACGGCTCTCTTGAGGATTGTCAGCTTGATTTTTCACCCTTGTAGCGTTGTTTCCTTCCACCCAAATACTCCTCTCTGGCTCCTTGGGGATTCAAATGTGTGTTTATCTGGACTGAAAATTTAGAGGTGAGATAAACAGCATTTCAAGCTGTTTATAACCAGAGGCTGTGCCAGGAATGAATTAAGCTTTGCATTAGATGTATGTTAAAATATTTGTCTCTGGAAAGGGTAGGAAGAATATCCTAGGCGTGAAAAGCAGATATTTAGAGGAGATTGATAGAAATTTGACCCAGAATATAGCGACGTGGGATTAGTGCTCTATTGACTTGTTAAATATAGTCTCGTGGAATGCTGCATAGAGGACCCTGAGATGCCATTTACATTGGGCTTGTGTTTTTATACCACCAGGAGGGCATTTGGCAAGGCGGTGGGCATGGAAGGGGGTATGGGAGAGAGGCTGAGGAATGAGGCACCGCAGACAAACCTCAGGGCAGTGGACAAAGAGTGGCGAGGATGAACTTCCATGGAGCTCATTCTAAACAGGGGACACACCTTCAGTTCTTCAGCTCCCGATGAAGAGCCCACAGCTCCCCGTAGCAGCCTCAGGCTCACCTCTCAGCCACACTAATGCAGATCCACAGCCTGCCTTCCTCCGTCACTTCTCCTTTGCCTGAAAATATTGTGAAAACTCCTACTATGTGCCAGACACTGTGTTAGTGGAGGGTTGAGACGTGGGGACTCTCATGTTGGGAGACAGACAAAAATCAAGTAAACAGTACAGTTACAGGTTATAGCTGGTGTTTTGGAAAACTGGGGGTGACAAAGAATAACACAGGGTCCCCCTTTTGGAGAGGAGGTTCAGGAGGTAACACGAATGATCCCAGAGTCATTGGTTATACTTTGACGTGTGTCATATGGTCTTTTAAAATTTCTTTTTTTAACTTTACTTTTGTTTTTTGTTTTTTGTGGGTTTTTTTTTTTTTGGTGGTGGGGGCAGGTAGGTGATTAGGTTTTTATTTATTTATTTATGTACTTTAATGAGGGTACTGAGTATTGAACCCAGGACCTCATGCACGCTAAGCACGCCTCTACCACTGAGCTATACCCTCCCCCTACTTAAAGTTTCTTAAATTGCATGTCGTTAAGGTGCAAATTAAAATCACATTTGCCTTTTCTGAGCCCAAGCCGTAGCCTGCCAAATGGGCAGCATTCTGGTAGACGGTAGTGGCCAGGTCCTTCCTGGCTGGCACCTGACTCATCACCACTTTCCCTCCTCAGGGAAAGGAGACGTGTTTGGAGACGTGTTCTGGAAGGAAGCCACCCTTGCCCAGTCCTGTGCCAACGTGCGGGCCTTGACCTACTGCGACCTGCATGTGATCAAACGGGACGCCCTGCAGAAAGTGCTGGAATTCTACACTGCCTTCTCCCATTCCTTCTCCCGGAACCTCATTCTCACCTACAACTTGAGGAAGAGGGTAAGCTAGCGGCTTCCTTTTGCCTTCTACCCAGAGCAGTGTCTGTGCACTTAGGATAAACATGTGGGCAGGGAAAATCCTTTCGCTGTTGATTTAAGTGGAGCAGTTGGTTCTGTAGAGGTTCTGTTCATTGCCTGCCCTTCAGAGCTTTTGCTGTAAGACGGGAGAGGGGGTGTTGCTAGATGAAAAGGTGGATTGATTCTGGTGCAGAAGGGATTTGTTCACGAGTGTGTCTGTGGGCTTTTCTCCAGTAAAATCTAGACTGTCTAGTATTTTGAACAGGTGAGTTAAAAATGAGGTTGTTAGTCAGCAAAATGGCTGAATAGGAAGACTTAGTTGATGGAAACTGAATTCTCCCTGGCAACTAGGACCCACTAAATGGTGTGAGGCTGTTAGCCAGCTGGTATTAATTTTTTTTAAAGGTATGAAAAGGATTCAGTGGGGTCCAGAAAATAAGAAAGATATGGAATCCGATTGCCTAGAGAATCTTTTGTATACAACTGCCAATTTAACTGGCTGAGAAATGAGTAGTAGTTTTTAAGAACCAGAAGATTTCTCATCTGAACTTGTTTCTTTTACCTTCATCAGAATTGCTCCATCTGTCTCTGGGAGGAATGAAATATGTGTCTTGTACTCCAGGTTTTCATGACCGGCTTTCTTGCATTTCATTTATCTCCTCTAGTTAAGGAGGTGGCTCTTGACCTATAGAAACCATCCAGGGAGCTGTCATAGGAATCTTTCTAGAAATGGCCTCATGCTCTCACCCCTCCCCAAAAATGTTCCTTTTCTCATGGTCCCTGTCTCTGTTAACATTGTCAGTATAGCCCCGGGGTTCCACCCTGCCATCATCACTGATACTTCTTCCCCGTCTCCCATGCCTCAGTTTACCCATCAGATCCTATTGGTTCCACCTGAGCTCTCAAACCTGAGTCCGCACTTTGCTTCCCCACTCAGGGCTCTCCCTGAGCTCTGGGACCACACGCCCCTGATCCCAAGCCTGCCCGTGTCTGGACCAAGCTGTCGTCTGCAAACGTACCCTCCCGTCTTCTGTCGCTCCTCAGCGCAGCGCTTCCCACTTTGGCCATGTGCGTGGCCTTAAAACCAAATTGGACCGTGTCGCTCCCCTCTGTGAGGACTTTGTGCTGCCACCCGAACTGCAGAGCAGTGTCTACACACTGCGGGTTGGCTTATGTGGTTTTTCACATCTGCAGCCCGAGCGTAACCCCTGCACCCCAACGCCAGCCGCTCTTCCCACGCCCTGCTCTGCCACCCTGACCCATCATGAAGACGGCCCCCACCCTTCCGGAGCTGTGCCTCTGCGTGGGCTTTCTCAGCCTGGGGTTCCTCTCTCTCCTTCTGGGTGTGAAGGGTTCCCGTTAACCCTTAAGACTCTGCTGAAATGTTTATTCGGTCGCTCCTCAGACCCAGTCCATGCCAGCGGAACTAGACTAGGCATTTAAAACCGCATAGCTCTCAGTTCCCCAACTCCAGGAACCTAAAGGCTGAGAAGGAAGACCCGCCAGGGAAGAGTAAGTGCAGCGCGTGGTGCTAAGTGCAATGAGTGTGATTTGTACAAGATGGCACGGGGATCATGAAGGAGGAGGCGGCTAGAGGGGGGCCAGGGAGAAGATGTTGAGGGGGTGATACCTGAGCTGAGTCTTCAAGGGTGAGTTTGCCAAGCAAAGAGACAGAGCAGGTGTTCCAGTTGGACGGGCAGTTTAGGTAAAGGCACAGAGAAACAAAACAGCCTCTTGCCTTCCAAGTTTTTTGTACAAAGTTCCGAACGCCTGTCATCGGGTTATCCCAGCAGTAGGCTTCTGCCTGTTTAAAGTTCCTTGAATTTTCTGGCCATGTGAGTCCCTGCTCAGAGACCCGGGAAGGCAAGGGCTTGGTGCCCTGGTGTCCCCCATGCCTAATGCAGTACAGGGAATTAAAAACATCTGGCGATGGCAGGGAGCGAGAGATGGGATCTCTGTGCCTCGGTTTCCACATCCTAAAATGGGAGGTTGTGGCTGGATGACTTGTATGGTTCTGTCATTTGAAAGCTGGCCATTTAAATGCCAGTGGGGAAGGTGCTGTGGGGGAGAAACACATTCGCAGTTCTTCCTGGTTTATCTGGGAACATGGAATGCCTGCTGGTGATGCTTTTAGCCAAGTGGATTCTCTCAAAGTCTATTTTTTGACTTATTCCTTTTCATCAAAGCATGTTGATTACAGTCAGCTTTCAGTGTTGCCAATCATGTAGGTTGAAAAAAAGTGCAGTTTGGGTTATTTGGTGGAGTGATCATCTTGGAATAACTGGGGGTCGAGTAAACCTGTCTTAAAAAAACAAGAACAACAGCGGGCCAGCGGTCAGATTGCTTTTCTGAGTGCAGAATGATTGACAGCTCTGCAGAAGAGAAGCCTCAGGGGCCACATATTTGAAGGGCTGTTGTGAAGGAGCATTAGGCATGGTCTGTGTGGCCAAAGGTGCAGAGGAAGAACCAAAGTGTAAGAAAGACCTTGGAAAAGATCAGCGCTGCCCAGTGAATGCAGTAGGCAGCTCTGAGTGGCATCTGGTTTCTTGCGCTGAAGACACTTAGGCGTTCCCCCCGGAAAGCCTGCAGAGACATTGTGGAGGGGACTTCGACACCAGTGGAGAGTCAAATCAGTTGACCTTCATATGTCTTTCCAGTCTCAAATGCTGTGAGTCTGGCATGGATCCAAGAGAATTTTAGTGAGATCCTTTATATGAAGAGATAGCCATTCTTTTTCTTGGAAAAAAAAAAAGAGGCTTGTCATTTTGGGATGTTCATTGTCGTCTCTCATTGTGTCCTTCTGAGAATTAATTCCTCGTCACACAGGGCATAGAAGATGAGAACATTACATGCATGAATCATTCTTGTAGCTATTTTTTTCTGGCAAAGTGAAGTGTATTCTTGTGGCTGTTTCTATCTTGGCAGAATCGAGCACGTTATTTGTAAAGATTCCTGAGAACACAGTGCCTTTGACATCTGTTTGGGGAGTTGTTTGGTCTTGGAGCTCTCCTCCAGTGCACAGCAAGGATTCTGCGCTGGAAGGGGCCCCAATGACCATCCAGTCTCTCTTCCATTTCCCCACCACCCTCATTTCATAAATGTGACATGTTATAGAGAGGTCATAGAGTTGGATTGATAAAGAAAGAATTGGAGCCAGAAACAACTCACTGACCAACCTCTTCCTGCTTCTCACAGCTTCACGACTGACCCTGGCCTCTGTACTCCAAGCTTCACCCCATTATCCCTAAACCCATGCATATGAGCACCGTCCAGCCCCCAGGACTGCTCCTGGGACCCAACTCAGGAAGGATCTGTTACCTTCCTCTGTTTCCTCCAATGACACCTGAGGTCAAGGGCAAGGATGAAGGAGGTGGAACCTGAAGGTCAATCCAGTACTTGGACCTTTGGTTTTCCTTGCCTGCGGGCTCTGAGGCAGACGAGCCCTCAGTCTGCATCCTGCTCTGTCACTTGGTGCTTCTGCAAGCTCTCAGTGCTTTCTCATGCAGAAAATGGGGATGTGGAAAATGGTCCACCTTGTAGGATAATTGTGAGCATTAAATAAGATGAAACTTGCAAAACTCCTACACACAGGGTATTAAATCGTATTATTATTTTGTTTTGTCCGCTTGACACCCTATTCTTTCTTCTCTTGTGCCTCTGCCTTTGCAAATACAGGATACTCGCCCTGCAGGATGCTCTGTTGGGGGGTGTTACCCCAGGGTTCTCTGCAGCAAAGGAGGGGCCAACTGCTCTGACCTCACTGTCCGTTTAGCTCCTGTCCATGGAGAGGCCAGTACTCACTCATTTTTTTGGCCAGTTCCATTCTTAGAGGGGAAAATTAGGTTGGTCTGACATCTTAGTCACCAGGGCGTGAGTATTTTGCCAAGAGGAAAGTTCAGCCTCCTTCTTTCTTCTGGGGGAGATGGCGTGTAGTTGTCCATGAAAAGAAGATGAAGGGGCACCTTCTTCATCCCAGACCCTCGGCTTTTTAGGGTGCCAGATTCTCTGGAAATTTTCCTATAGGCAATCAGAGCTTTGCACACAGTGAATAGTAATATTATTATGAACTCCAGATACGTCAGTGTCAGCGTGTGTTTTATGTCAGCTTATTAAATCCTCAGAACAGCCTCATGACATTATAGGATCAACTCCATTTCTCAAGGGCATAAACTTCCCCATGGAAAAGAGAATCACTTTTCCAAGGTCACCCAGCTAATAACTGGTAGATTCCTAATGCCGCATGTGTCCCTGACCCTAGTAAGCAGCACGGCACCCTTTGGTGGGTCTCCTTTAAGTATGGTTCTCAGCTTTTCCCCATAATGGTATTCTTTGGCTTCTGCTTTCTCCCTGATGCCACAGGGGTGGCATAGATTGTCTCCAAAAATCTCCAACAGCCTCTGGTCTCCTGCAGAACACTCAGAAAACTGTACAGTACATCACAGTCCTGTCCCAAACACTTTGAGAAGTGTTTTCCCTTCTGAGTGACAGCTGCACCGTTGCTGGGTATGCTGGGGAGGCGTGCCAGGGGCAGCAGGTCAGCCTGGCCATGATGTTAGTGCTGTTAAGAAGAGTACCCGCTTTGGAGTTAAGGACCTGGATTTGAACCCTGGTGTGGCTTTCTGCCCTTGTGTAAAGTACTGAACTATTCTAAGCCTCAGTTTCCTCATCTGTGAAAAGGGTCTAATTAAAGTCCCTCCTAACTAAGTTTCTTGAGAAGATCACATATGTTAAAAAAAAATGACATAGTGCCTGTGGGAACCACTCACTAAATATTTGTTCTCTTCTTTTCCCCACCACCTGTCCTCTCCTTCCACCTTCAATCTAAGAGGTTCTGAGTTCATGCTTTGCTCCCCTCCATTGATAACCAGACCCTTTCTTGAATCAGTGTTTCACTTGGGCTCTAGTCTCCTTACAGCCAGAGGTGAGGTCTTACTTGCTGGATGCTGGCTTGGCGATCAGTCCTCCGACTCACCGTTAGGACAG